TGCGCCCCCCCCCCCCACTAGAGTTTTTACTGGAGGCCGATAAGGTAGCTTGCTCTCAGTTTGTACCTCTTTGGTTACATTTTCTCACAAAAGCCACACTGCCACCAAACCAGTACTGAAATAATCTGACCAGTGCCTTCAACACTTGGTCTGTACAGTCTCCTTGGTCTGTACAGTCTCCGTCCCTCTTCTCCAGCATCCTTTGTGAGCCACATCATACCCAGTGCCCAGAGGTGTTCCAGGAACCATGCATTATTTTAGGAATTCTCAGGGTATGCACCCAGCAACTGCTTTTTGATGAACAGCAGAATTATATCAGAAAAGCAGCTTTGTTTTCTTTCTTTCTAAATTTGTTTTTGTGTTTTTCTGTCCACCACCACTACCTCTCCCATTAGTTATTTTTCTCCTGGGGAAAGGAAAAGGAGTTTATAGGATCTGAAGGAGACTGTCACATGGTGCCTGCCAGTTGCCTTATCACGTTAATGACCTATTTGGATATTTATTTCCTATACTTGGAGAGTTTTTGTATTATAAAAGTCTTATCTTGAGAATGAATGTCTTTGGAAATAAATTATAAGAAGTAGTGCACAGTCATTCCTTTCCCCCTTCTCATTTGGGTCTGTGAATGGTCATGTATTGTGAAGAGAGTTTGGCACCACTTAGAATTTGTAAACAATAGTACTAAGAGCCAGTGTCAGTTGGAGATGGGAACGAACATCATGGTTGATGGTACAATGAATGTATCACTTGTTTTTAAGATTTTTTCACAGTGGCTTTCATTCTTCACCCCCTTGGGAGCTAATGTGAACCACAGTTACCTTTTATTGCTCGATGGGTGTCGTTTGTGCCAATCACAGAGCTGCAGGGGAGCTGAACAAGTTGAAATAATTAAATTGAGGAGTGAATGTCACACTTCTAATTTCATTCTCTTTTCAAGGGATTACCAGTGTCCATTTAATAAAATGAGATTAACCCTCTGCAGCAGAACTATTTGAAAGCTGTCAGTATAATCTTGACAGCTCAAAAGAGGTAGTGTTCTCAGTAATCCGAGAAGCACTGTCATGTTTTATTGGATGAGAGACCATTTTACTGCACAGTGGTGTGTGTGAGTGTTAGTACATAAACGTATCATTTCCTTTCAGAGAAAGCTTTGTGGTTAATCCATACTAAATCAAAATAAGAATATAGAAATAGATGTTATTTCTAGAGCTTTGAGTTGTCAGATACCAGTAGTAAAATATCTAAGAAATTATGAGACTAAATAAAAATTAAAAATATTTATACAGCAAATAATGCTATATCTCTTCTTGAATGTTTTAGAAAACCTCGGATCAATTCTCAGCTGGTGGCACAACAGGTAGCACAGCAGTATGCCACTCCACCTCCCCCTAAGAAGGAGAAGAAGGAGAAGGTGGAAAAGCAAGACAAAGAGAAACCTGAGAAAGATAAGGAAATCAGTCCTAGTGTTACCAAGAAAAATACCAACAAAAAAACAAAGTAAGTTCTGGCTTAACTCGGTATATTATATTATTTTGCTAGTGAATCAAAGATATCTTTTAAATGCTTCTTTTTCCTATCTTTCTAAATCAGACCAAAGTCCGATATTCTGAAAGACCCTCCTAGCGAAGCAAACAGTATACAGTCTGCAAATGCTACAACAAAGACCAGCGACACGAATCACACCTCAAGGTACTGATTTATTTAGTCATGCCCAGGAACCCAGGATGGTCTTGTGCTTGTGCCTGTGGTTTTATGGGCTGAGAGGGATGGAGTAAATGACCTGTTTGTGGGACCGTTAGCCACATTCCCACCCCCATCCTTAAAGTCTGCTTAAGTACTGTGACTGAAACAGGAGAAAGATACATGAGTAGTAATTTTGCTGTGGTCCAAAGCCTTGCTAATCGATGGTCGGTCATACGTGTTATATTACTCATTGATTGGCACACTTTGTAATCAGCTTTAGCATTTGTGGTGAGGACACTTCAGATTCTTTGTCACTGTGTCATGAAGTCTTTGTGTGTCTTGATAACGTTCTGCCAGAAACTTTTTTAGTCCGTAACTTACTTAATTGCCTGTTCCTCTATGGTGTTGCTTTCAGGCCCCGGCTGAAAAACGTGGACAGGAGCACTGCACAGCAGTTGGCAGTAACTGTGGGCAACGTCACCGTCATTATCACAGACTTTAAAGAAAAGACTCGCTCCTCCTCGACGTCATCATCCACAGTGACCTCCAGTGCAGGGTCAGAACAGCAGAACCAGAGCAGCTCGGGGTCAGAGAGCACAGACAAGGGCTCCTCCCGTTCGTCCACGCCAAAAGGCGACATGTCAGCAGTAAATGATGAATCTTTCTGAAATTGCACATGGAATTGTGAAAACTATGAATCAGGGTATGAAATTCAAATCCTCCACCTGCCCATGCTGCTGGCACCCCTGGAGAGTCTTCTGTGGACACCGACCTCTTTAGTGATGCTGCCAGAATGATTTCTGCTCACCATGGGCATCTGGCCACCAAGGAATTTCGCACCCTGACGATTACTCTTGACACTTTTATGTATTCCATTGTTTTATATGATTTTCCTAACAATCATTTATAATTGGATGTGCTCCTGAATCTACTTTTTATAAAAAAAAAAATCTGCTGTGCACAATTTTCCATGTACATTACAACTGGTTTTTTGTTTTTGTTTTGTTGGGGGGGGTTTGGGAGGGGGAGGGAACTTTTATTTATTGTGTTCACAAACTCCATTCTTTCAGCATATCCTTTTAAGTTTAGTTCTTTCTTCCAGTTATACTATGTACTATCAGTTTTGATATAACTATATATATATAAATATAAAATTATATATAAAGGGTTATTTGAAACCAATCCATGGCAACGCTGGTGCTTGATACACTGTGAAGTGAATACAACATTGAACAGTTAACAGATCTGGGACAGTCCCTTCTATGAAAGTGCTGAAATTAAATTCAAATCAGTCTTACATGAAGTATGTTCCAACCCACGTGGGAACTTGACTCTCTCTGTCTAAAGAGTACTGGACAATATAAAAAATATATATTTTTTAAACAATGTGATCTCAAATTTAAAGACTGCTCCAGATAGCCTGCATTTGCAATGGAATAACTGACAAATCACAAGTGGTTTAGTTGGGGAGGACTTTGGTCATTATTCAGAAGTAACTAAACTAGCTCCAGAATGCCAAGTATTCATGTAAATTACGGTTACATGTAACATTGCTGTTCTTATATCAGCACTCATGAAAGTATGGTGTTCTGTCACTCGAATTCCATCCATTTTTCCAGACCTCTCTACTCATGTCTGAGGTAAACCTAGATATATCTCTTAGTTTTAGGATTGAACCATTCTAAACTGTATCTATGGTCCATACTGGGAGCATCCCTTATTTCCACTTTCCACTTGACATCGCAGTGGTGGTTCTTGTCATTGAAATGTGTTTGCCCCGTGTCCCTTGGTTTCACCAACCCTCACCCTACGAATTCAGTTGTGAGAATCCTTTTTCTTTCTTAAAGCCTTCTATGACTTGTTTTGCTGAACAGAGGTTGTCAACCACACATCTAACCCTAACATGGAGCTTTTAAATGTTTGGAGGCATTTCAATTCCCTGCTGTGAGAAGGAACTCAAGTGGCACCGGCAGCCTGAGCGCCAGCAGCCCAAGGAGCAGGGCAAGCTCCTGCTGCTGCGAGCGGCGTTGATCTGTTTTCTTCCTCAACATAAAGATAGCTTGAGTAAACAGTCTCTCAAAGTTTCTCTTCATTCTTTTTTTTGCCGTCTTGCAAAAATCAAAAGACTTCTAATATGCTACCCTTTCTCACTTGGAAAAAAAATGTGTTTGGATTTGTGCTGTCTCCTCTTTGACTTTTACACTCACGTCCACACGGTTTCGGCACATCAGGGTCATCTCTGAGATGCGAATTTGATGTTACCTTCCTTTGTTTGATTGTACTTTAGAGACTCATGAGACTCTTGGGAGGGCAACCAATTGGTAGGAAAGCACCACATCTTGGTGTTAAGAACCTGGTTTGTTTAATAATAGAAGAAATTTCTGTCTGTGGAGGCAACAAGTAAAAAAAAATTAACAGCTTGAATTGAGTAGCCAACTGGAAAGGTTCCTTTCACATTTACATTAAAACTATTCTGTAGTCACTGATGTACCATGATTTAAATCCTCTTCTCAAAGGTATAGATGATAAAGCAGTGCCATTTGTTGCTGTGGTCCTATTCTCAAATGCATGGACAATGTTCCCCTCTTTTTAAAATAACGCTTGTATCTGGGATGCAAGCTGTGCTTATCTTTTTAAATACATTTTTAAAGTATTTATTAATGAACCAAAGGAAACCAGATGCTTTCTGTAAGCATCAGAATATATTAATACATAGTGATTTGACTATGAATTTTAAATCCACATTTTAATATTCGTGGGATATTGCAAAGACATTCCTTCTAAAATTTTAATATTCCTTTTTTAAGGGTCTCAGGGAGGGTAAATTAGTCAGCCATATTTATTTTCCAGAGGTGTAAGGGATTGCTAAGTTTTTAAATTAACTTTAAAAGAATAATTGTAATGTCACCAAACTCATGTGGGTTGCACTGCTTGTTGAACCAGTTATTGTTGGTATGCACTTTGTTCAGAACACTGTGTACTTTTTCCAAATTAGTTTCATGTAAAGTGATTGGACCCCCTAGATTAGTGGAAAAAGCTGATTAACCAGCTACTCATAGGCTGCTAATTAATTCATTGCCATTGTCTTGGTTTTTCAGTTTTGCCTCCATGATAAATTAAAGAAAAGGGAGGGGTGAGGGAAGGGAGGACTGCTTTCGAACAAGTGGGATGATAATGCCATTTTGGTAGAAACTGCAGCTACCAGTGGGAGTTATCTAAGCAATCAGATTTTAAGGGGTCAGCCCCTTAAGTGCTTGGCTAGTGAGGTGGTAGGTACTTTAGTCTTTTAATTTCTGAAATTGATGACATCCCTCAGGCATGTATTCTGGAAATGGAATTCCTGTAACTTCCTGCATTTGCAGTTTGCCCTACAATTAGTAGGCAGTGTGGAAAAACACTAGTGTAGATTGTAAAGGAATATGTTAAAAGAGGACCAGAAATACTTGGTATTCGGTGGTGCAGAAAGCAGGTTTAAAAAAACCCAAAAGCACAGTGTTAACGCTTGCAAGTTTTCATTTGTTTTAATACCACACAATCTTTCACATTCGTGCGTCCGCGTGCGCACACAGAGCTTACCTGACTTGCTCTGCTTGAGTCATGCAGTTTAAAAAAAAAAAAAAAGACATCTTGACACCCACAAAATATTTTAATTCAAACCTTTCAGTTTCAATCTGGATATTTAAAAATATTGGCAGAAAGCTTCTGTGAGTTTAGTTCCACTAAGATGTTTCACCTGCCTTATCAAGACCATTCTCAGTCTACTTTTTTAAGCTACCGTATCTTAAATTATTGAAAATTTATTAATTGCTGAATATATAATAACCTTGCTTGTATGTAACCGAAAATGGTTTAAGAGCCAACATTTAGAGTATGACAATGGAGCTGAACAGTTTTTAATGCGCAAGCAGTTCTGTTCTTGTGTATGACTTGTAACCTTAATTTACTGTGTAAAGATGGTTACATTATTTCCTTAGCTTTGTTTGTTGGAGACAAATAGAGAATGCTTGTTAAGTATGTCAAAACATAATCTTATCTTGTGAATTTTTGTTAATGTATTATACGAGCTATATTTTTCATTTGCCCAGAAAGACAGCTTGTATAACGCTTTTGGAAGTTTCTGCTCTGTAACGTCTTTAGAGCTGACAGTCTGTTAGGTTTGTTTTTTCCTTCATGCTAAAGTGTCAATTGGTGGTTTTGTGAACTGGTCAGAAATTCACAGGTCTTAAATGTTTTGGGGAAATTTATATTGGACACTGCTCTTTGTCTAGCAAATAAAAGATGTTAATATATTCCTGTTACTGGCATGTGCACGACTATGTTATTAGAAGCCACTTTATCATTTTCCTGCTTTAAATAGAAATGTCTATTTATGAATTCTGCTTGTAGTTTTTTCACAAATAAAATAGTAAAATTTACATTGGAAATCTTTATTTTCGTGTGTGTAGATTTTAGCCCTTAGAAGAATGTGAAATTTTGTACTCAGATTTAACTTGTGGAATATTTACAATGTATTCAAATAGGACACTTCTCATTTTTTAGAACTTGGGTCGCTTCTCAGAAGCTGAGTGTCAGAGTACATGCCTCAGATATAACAGGATAACAGGACACACTGAAGCAAAAGAATTACCAAAAATTTGGGGAGAAAATGAAGTTTGTCTCTAAAGTACATCTTTCCAGATGGATTTCTGTTACTTAAAGGAAGGGGCGTGAAGATAATGGCTGAAAATGACTAATTCAGTGTTTGAGAAGAAGAGCCTGTTTATGGCCAGCTACAATGAAACCAGCCTTGACTGAGAGTTCCGAATGAAGCTCCATGTCCACGCTAAAAGTTCAGCAAAGCCGACTCAGCCCTGAGCTAGGGATATCCTTGCCTGCCACCCAGGTCACACCAGTACCTCCAGCCTTCCAGAGAATGGAAACCACTTAAAACACTTCCAGATCCGTCCTCTGTCCTGCGCCTGCACTTGAGTTAACACTGAAAGAGTCAACAGTGCAGGACCCTAGTTTGAAAGTGGGTTTGTCCAGTAAAAGAAGGCAACATCCTTTTTCCTCATTTTCTGATATTGCATCATGACCCATTTGGCTCAAGTCTTGGAAACAAACTGGAAGGTTAAAGGGCAGGAAGTAGAGGGTGTCTCTGATTTCCAGCAGACCATTTTGGATACAGAAAGGAAATCTACCTGCTGCCTCTCTCTGTTTTTTTGTGGTACCTGAAGAGTTCTTTGTGAGATTTCCACTACTGGTGGTGCTGGTATCACCCTCTGGGGAGGACAGAAGCTGCCTCACGCTGAGTGTAGGCATGCAGCAAGCACTTGACCTTCACACTGGGAGAATCAAAGATGTCTCGGGAAGAGCATAGATTCTCTCCAATTGTGTTAGCCTGGATCTTTCTAAGGCTAAATTCTGGTGTCAACACCAAGTGCCCAGACTCCCTATTGAATACCATGGCTAGGGCATGACACCATCGTGGTGAGAGGCTCTCATTGAATTCCCTTGATCAAGAGTGGAATGATATCGTAAGCTGGAAAGTGCCCAGGCTGTGCCATAAATAAGTGATATAGATAGGGAAACCAGCCAGCAGTGGAAGCATGAGGCCTATCAGGGGGCCCTTGGTCTGTTTCACCCTGACCTCCTTAAAACTAGAGCAAGGAAAAAATTCAGAGCCATCTTTGTGTTAGGATCAAAACTTGAGCATGGTTGTGTTTGCTAAACATTGAAGGGAGCCAGACTAATCTGACATGGCTTTTGTCTAGAAGGTACCAGATACCACAGGGAAGACTCTGGGCTTTCCAGAAAGGATCATAGGATATGTTTGGGAACCTGAGGAGCTAGAATTGGCACACACCAGAGTTGAAAAGAGGTTGCACAGGTGTTCGATTCTGCCTGGTAATACCTCTCGAGGCATTAACCACACAACAACCAATATGCGTCCAGTACTGTGCTAAGTGAACAAGCATGGCAAGGTAGAGCACAAATTGAAATTGGCCCACTCCCATGAGTGCTTTTGACCTAGACCTGGGAAGTGAGTGCCCAAAACTATTCCACTTTCCACCTGGAGCTTGTGCCTGACATCACTAGTTGGTCACAGTGATGAGCTTTTTCAGCTGACTCCAGACTCAGTCTTTGAAGGTAGTTATCAGCAAATGTCTCCCTGAGGTAAGACATATTTGCCATTTCCGCCCACCCCCAAATTATCGGAGAACCCTAAGAGACTGTTTTAAAATCAGTTATGGAACTGTAGGAATCAAAGAGAAGGCTAGCTGAGATGCTCAGAGGAGTCAGGAATGAAAGATACCCAACACCCAATGAAAGAGCTTAACTTCCTGTTCAACCCAGGGCCATTGTGGAGGTTTCTTAGGGAGATCAGTGGTGAGCAATGGAGCTTTAAATGCATGTCTCAACCCCAGACTCAAAAGGCCTGCAGCCAAGATGGGAGGCATCCCAAAGGTCAGAGCAGGACCTGCTCAGGCTGTTGCACCAGTTCTGTCAACCTTGGATACTCAGCTAACAGGGCAGAACACCAAACGGATGTGATTCCTGGAAACAACAGGATACAGAATCAGACAAAACTGGGTGAGACTCTCACCTCCAACAGACTGGGTGACCTTGGGCCAGTCAGCCTCCCAGGGCTTGTTTTCCTCATTTCTAGACGCATTGGTGCTCCTGCCCTGTTCTCTACTCCAAAGAGTCATGGAAGCATGCCCTAGAGGTTGGTTGTGTTGCCCATGTTTTTGATAATGGGAACATTCTTTGTTTGAACTTTCACTCTAATGCTTCACTAAGAACACCAGGAATGAATAGGGTTTGTTTTGTAATTGTTTTATTGTGTTCTTTTAAAGTTGTATTTATTTTCTTGGCCCAGAGGGAGGAGCAGTTGGCCACATGTAAATAAAAAAAAAAAAAAAAAAAAAAA